TGAAAGTTCCTCCATTCATCTAATGTAAACCTTTTCATAGACGTGAATTTTGTTGAGAATAATGTTCACTCATTGAATGGCACATCCGTTGACTATCCTTGTAGTTTCCAATAATAGTCAGCAGATGTCAGCCACAAAAATCTATCACCCGGTGTATCAATACAAAACTCAAAGTCATTTTGAAAAGAGATATATTTTTATGTATGCAAAGCATGTCTTGAAACTGAAAATAATGTTACCTGTGTATGATTGGATTACGTAATATGGTACATACTGTGTGGGGGGGTCTCTGTGATGGACCAGTTACAGTACATACTGTGTGGGGGGTCTCTGTGATGGACCAGTTACAGTACATACTGTGTGGGGGGTCTCTGTGATGGACCAGTTACAGTACATACTGTGTGGGGGGTCTCTGTGATGGACCAGTTACAGTACATACTGTGTGGGGGGTCTCTGTGATGGACCAGTTACAGTACATACTGTGTGGGGGGTTTCTGTGATGGACCAGTAACAGTACATACTGTGTGGGGGGTCTCTGTGATGGACCAGTAACAGTACATACTGTGTGGGGGGTCTCTGTGATGGACCAGTTACAGTGCATACTGTGTGGGGGGTTTCTGTGATGGACCAGCTAAAGTACATACTGTGTGTGGGGTTTCTGTGATGGACCAGTTACAGTACATACTGTGTGGGGGGTCTCTGTGATGGACCAGTTACAGTACATACTGTGTGGGGGGTCTCTGTGATGGACCAGTTACAGTACATACTGTGTGGGGGGTTTCTGTGATGGACCAGCTACAGTACATACTGTGTGTGGGGTTTCTGTGATGGACCAGTTACAGTACATACTGTGTGGGGGGTTTCTGTGATGGACCAGCTACAGTACATACTGTGTGTGGGGTTTCTGTGATGGACCAGTTACAGTACATACTGTGTGTGGGGTTTCTGTGATGGACCAGTTACAGTACATACTGTGTGTGGGGTCTCTGTGATGGAGCAGTAACAGTACATACTGTGTGGGGGGTCTCTGTGATGGACCAGTTACAGTACATACTGTGTGGGGGGTCTCTGTGATGGACCAGTTACAGTACATACTGTGTGGGGGGTTTCTGTGATGGACCAGTTACAGTACATACTGTGTGGGGGGTCTCTGTGATGGACCAGTTACAGTACATACTGTGTGGGGGGTTTCTGTGATGGACCAGTAACAGTACATACTGTGTGGGGGGTTTCTGTGATGGACCAGTAACAGTACATACTGTGTGTGGGGTTTCTGTGATGGACCAGTTACAGTACATACTGTGTGGGGGGGGTCTCTGTGATGGACCAGTTACAGTACATACTGTGTGGGGGGGGGGTCTCTGTGATGGACCAGTTACAGTACATACTGTGTGGGGTTTCTGTGATGGACCAGTTACAGTACATACTGTGTGGGGGGGGGGGGGTCTCTGTGATGGACCAGTTACAGTACATACTGTGTGGGGGGGTCTCTGTGATGGACCAGTAACAGTACATACTGTGTGGGGGGGTCTCTGTGATGGACCAGTTACAGTACATACTGTGTGGGGGGGTCTCTGTGATGGACCAGTTACACTCCATACTCTGGGATTTTTTTTTGTGATGGTTCAGATTTTTTTTATCTCAAAATTAAAACAGAAAACAGAATTGATCCCAAAATTAGATATCGATCAGTTCTCAGATCACCTGCTAGTTAGAAGTGTATTCTAATGTAGCTCTTCTATTCTGCACAAGATCTTTATTTTTAACTATCATGGAGACTAAAATGTGACATTGCCTACCTAATATTGGGGAAATTTACATGATAATAAATGAGGGTGGTGATTCGAGACTACCTGTGATTAGGCTTGGAATGAGGACTGGTGTAAGGCAGGACAAAGAAACGTCAATATCTGTAATTCTGTCATTGTTATGCATAACTATCTTCCCCTTTCACACTGTAGAGCTAGAAATATCGAGCTGCCAGTGTTGATGAAGATGTTTTTCTATTACTGTTGACTATTTTAGTCTTAGCCTCTAGACAACTTTTTAGTCTTGTTCAATCAACCTACATCACCACAGCAGTCCTGTGTTGATCATCCCTCCTGTGCCACACTTCCGAGGCTTTGCTGGATTATTGGTGGTTAAAAATAGTGTTGGATTGGTGGCTTATCACATAGCTTCACTGTTAACATTACAATATAAATTACAGGAGTTTTTGTTATTATGCATGTGTGAAATGACCGAGGGAAGCTGTGATGTACAGAAGATTTGGGGCTGTTCCACTTTGATGTCATAACTTCATGACATCACTTTAATGTGATGACTCACCACAGAAAGGGATATAAAGTAAGAATATTGATGATTAAGATTTTGTGTCAGTTTAATGAAATGCTGTTTTCACAAATGTTCAGAAAAGTATTTAAGTTATGTGACTGTCTTAAATTGGTTTCCATTTAATCATGGATTTTATAAAACTTGTCAGGAATGTTAAATTTTACTGAGACAGAGAAGATTTAAAGAATTCTTTTAAAAATCTCATATGCTGATGTAAGATTCCTTGCGCATTTGTGAACTGGTGGTTAGCCATAAGATTGCATTATAACTATTTGTAGATATTTATTTTAGTTGCATTTATATCAGAAATGCAGCACATTAATGCGTCATTTTTAAATACCTGTAAAAGAATACTGTTTACACACCAGTAAACAACAAAATAAAAAAAAAATGATTCTCATATTTACTTTTTTGACAGTTATTTTTTTCATTCACTTTAAAAAATAATAATAATCATTCATTTGACACACAATGAGAGAAGTTAGACTGACATCTCATGGAATTTGACATTTGTTGAAGTATAAACACCCAATTTTGATGGTAAGGCCAAAAAGAGAATATAGACAGACGGTGTAAATATTAACTGGTAAATTTAAATGGTAGTTGGTTATAACAACTTTATTTGGCTGAGAGATCAGTTTGGGCCATACTACCTTAACTTCATTAGTAAGATTGAAATATGATTTTCTGAAATTCATTTTCTGGTTTGTCTCAAAATAACACTTTTTTCATTAATGTTTAAGATGTGTATATTAAATACCAAATTCATTGAAATTGAGAGTTGGATCAGGCTTATTATCTGCAATCAAACTTTCTAGAAGGATTACATTTTAAAGTTTCTATATTAACAGGTGTAGGAAAGTTTGATTGCCTTTAGCACTTAGCATTTGAAAAGATTCTTTTAAAAATTAATCAACTACTTTATATTTTACTGATACTTGAAACATACAATTGTAGATTTCCTAAACAGATACTTGGGGCATCTTTTGGTCCAGATGATGACTTTGTACTTGATAACACTGCTATTCTGGGTAGCTGTAGGCTACTTACAAAAAAACACTCAATCAAAGCATGCTGCTCGGCAAATGTTGTACTATAATAGAAAAACAAAATGATCACCAGTACAAAGCAGTACATACACATGTCAAAATAAATTACAGCTATTGTGCAACACTATATGATATATGTATGAAGAGGATGAAGCAGAGGATGAGAGGAGACAAAGGGATAGAGGGGGAGATGATGAGGGGAACCAGAGGGATAGTACTTTGAGGAGTAGAGGGGAGAGGATGAGGGGAGACAAAGGGATAGAGGGGGAGAGGATGAGGGGAGCCAGAGGGATAGTACTTTGAGGAGTAGACGGGAGATGATGAGGGAAGCCAGAGGGATAGTACTTTGAGGAGTAGAGGGGAGAGGATGAGGGGAGACAGAGGGATAGTACTTTGAGGAGTAGACGGGAGATGATGAGGGGTGGCAGTTGATAGTATTTTTTGGAGTAGTGGGGAGAGGATGAGGGGAGGCAGAGGATAGTATTTTGAGGAGTAGAGGGGAGAGGATGAGGGGAGACAGAGGGATAGTACTTTGAGGAGTAGAGGGGAGAGGATGAGGGAAGCCAGAGGGATAGAACTTTGAAGAGTAGAGGGGAGAGGATGAGGGGAGACAGAGGGATAGTACTTTGAGGAGTAGAGGGGAGAGGATGAGGGGAGGCAGAGGATAGTATTTTGAGGAGTAGAGGGGAGAGGATGAGGGGAGGCAGAGGATAGTATTTTGAGGAGTAGAGGGGAGAGGATGAGGGGAGGCAGAGGATAGTATTTTGAGGAGTAGAGGGGAGAGGATGAGGGGAGGCAGAGGATAGTATTTTGAGGAGTAGAGGGGAGAGGATGAGGGGAGGCAGAGGATAGTATTTTGAGGAGTAGAGGGGAGAGGATGAGGGAAGCCAGAGGGATAGAACTTTGAAGAGTAGAGGGGAGAGGATGAGGGGAGGCAGAGGATAGTATTTTGAGGAGTAGAGGGGAGAGGATGAGGGGAGGCAGAGGATAGTATTTTGAGGAGTAGAGGGGAGAGGATGAGGGGAGGCAGAGGATAGTATTTTGAGGAGTAGAGGGGAGAGGATGAGGGGAGGCAGAGGATAGTATTTTGAGGAGTAGAGGGGAGAGGATGAGGGGAGGCAGAGGATAGTATTTTGAGGAGTAGAGGGGAGAGGATGAGGGGAGGCAGAGGGATAGTATTTTGAGGAGTAGAGGGGAGAGGATGAGGGGAGGCAGAGGATAGTATTTTGAGGAGTAGAGGGGAGAGGATGAGGGGAGGCAGAGGATAGTATTTTGAGGAGTAGAGGGGAGAGGATGAGGGGAGGCAGAGGATAGTATTTTGAGGAGTAGAGGGGAGAGGATGAGGGGAGACAGAGGGATAGTACTTTGAGGAGTAGAGGGGAGAGGATGAGGGGAGGGCAGAGGGATAGTATTTTCAGGAGTAGAGGGAAGAGGGTGAGGGGAGCCAGAGGATAGGACCTTGAAGGGTGAGGGTGAGAGGATGAGGGTATGCAGAGGGATAGGAAGAGATGGAAGGGTAATGGATTGGAAGAAGAGATTGAGAAGGGATGAGGGTATGCAGAGGATTGGGGATAGGAAAAAAGTAAGGGAAGGCAAAGAAATAGAGTAGGCTGGTTGTTAGGATAGATAATAGAGGTAAAGGAGGTGGAGGGTAGGAGGAAGAAGAGGAGGATGACGGATGTAGATATACTGGGGAGGCAGATAGGTGAGGGGTGTGAAGGGTAGGAGGAAAAAGAGTAGGACCGATGGATGTAGATAGACTGAGGAGGCAGATTGGTGAGGGTGTGGAAGGATGGGAGGAGGCAGATAGATGAGGGGTGTGGAGGGATGGAAGGAGGCAGATAGGTGAGGGTGTTGAAGGATGGGAGGAGGCAGATAGGTGAGAGTGTGGAAGGTTTGTGTAGGCAGATAGGTGCGGGTGTGGAAGAATGGAAGAAGGCAGATAGGTGAAGGTGTGGAAGGATGGGAGGAGGCAGATAGATGAGAGTGTGGAAGGATTGGAGGAGGCAGATAGGTGAGGGTGTGGAGGGATAGGAGGAGGCAGATAGATGAGGATGTGGAGGGATGGAAGGAGGCTGATAGGTGAAGGGCGTGGAGGGATGGGAGGAGGCAGATAGGTGAGGGTGTAGAAGGATGGGAGGAGGCAGATAGGTGAAGGGCGTGGAGGGATGGGAGGAGGCAGATAGGTGAGGTGAGGGTGTGGTGAGGGTGTAGGGATGGGAGGAGGCAGATAGGTGAGGGTGTGGAAGGATGGTAGGAGGCAGATAGGTGAGGGTGTGGAAGGATGGGAGGAGGCAGATAGATGAGGATGTGGCGGGATGGGAGGAGGCAGAAAGGTGAGGGTGTGGAGGGATGGGAGGAGGCAGATAGGTGAAGGTATGGAAGGATGGAAGGAGGCAGGTAGGTGAGGGTATAGAAGGATGGGAGGAGGCAGATATATGAGGGTGTGGGAGGATGGGAGGAGGCAGATAGGTGAGGGTGTGGAGGGATAGGAGGAGGCAGATAGATGAGGATGTGGAGGGATGGGAGGAGGCAGATAGGTGAAGGGTTTGGAGGGATAGGAGGAGGCAGATAGGTGAAGGGTGTGGAGGAATGGGAGGAGGCAGATAGGTGAGGGTGTAGAAGGATGGGAGGAGGCAGATAGGTGAGGGTGTGGAAGGATGGTAGGAGGCAGATAGGTGAGGGTGTGGAAGGATGGGAGGAGGCAGATAGATGAGGATGTGGCGGGATGGGAGGAGGCAGAAAGGTGAGGGTGTGGAGGGATGGGAGGAGGCAGATAGGTGAAGGTATGGAAGGATGGAAGGAGGCAGGTAGGTGAGGGTATAGAAGGATGGGAGGAGGCAGATATATGAGGGTGTGGGAGGATGGGAGGAGGCAGATAGGTGAGGGTGTGGAGGGATAGGAGGAGGCAGATAGATGAGGATGTGGAGGGATGGGAGGAGGCAGATAGGTGAAGGGTGTGGAGGGATAGGAGGAGGCAGATAGGTGAAGGGTGTGGAGGAATGGGAGGAGGCAGATAGGTGGGTGTGTTGGAGGATGCGAGGAGGCAGATAGGTGAGGGTGTAGAAGGATGGGAAGAGGCAGATATATGAGAGTGTGGGACGATGGAAGGAGGCAGAAAGGTGATTGTGTGGAGGAATTGGAGGAGGCAGATAGGTGAGGGTGTGGAGGGATGGGAGGAGGCAGATAGATGAGGATGTGGAGGGATGGGAGGAGGCTGATAGGTGAGGGTGTGGAGGGATAGGAGGAGGCAGATAGATGAGGATGTGGAGGGATGGGAGGAGGCTGATAGGTGAAGGGTGTGGAGGGATGGGAGGAGGCAGATAGGTGAGGGTGTAGAAGGATGGGAGGAGGCAGATAGGTGAGGGTGTAGAAGGATGGGAGGAGGCAGATAGGTGAGGGTATTGAGGGATGGGAGGAGGCAGATAGGTGAAGGGTGTGGAGGGATGGGAGGAGGCAGATAGGTGAGGGTATAGAAGGATGGGAGGAGGCAGATAGGTGAGGGTGTGGAAGGATGGTAGGAGGCAAAGGGAAATTTTTATGAATGATCTGCAACATTTTAGTACTGTATTGTGATAATAAATACGAAATGACTGACACTCAAAAGACATCCCATGTCAGAACAAGTGTGATGACAGTAAATGTCTAACAGCAAAACCAGTTTGGCAGATTTTAGGCCTGTATCTCATTCATCATAATCTCACAGCCATGGTGCTGGCAGCAGTAAGCTCCCCAGAAACTACCTAATTAATTGACCTGCAGGTTTGTAAGTGAATTTGTAGCATCTTAACTGGGTTGGAGCTCTAGAATAATTCTCAAGAATTTTATTGCTGCTTTTAGAGTATAAATTGGGCATGTAGATGCTGTCCGTATGGTTTTTATTGAGTTTTATTAGAGCAGAATAACTCAGTGTGGTATAAAATTGATATTTCATTCCAGTAAAACTAACTCAGTATGATACCAAAGGTGAATTAGACTAGAGCCATTTCTGACACTTTAGAAATGGCTTTTTGATGTAACCAGATCCTTCAGTCTCCTGGGTATGATATAGAGAGTTCCCACAGTCTCCTGGGTATGATATAGACAGATCATTCAGTCTTCTGGGTATGATATAGACAGTTCCTACAGTCTCCTGGGTATGATATAGACAGTTCCTACAGTCTCCTGGGTATGATATAGACAGTTCCTACAGTCTCCTGGGTATGATATAGACAGTTCCTACAGTCTCCTGGGTATGATATAGACAGTTCCTACAGTCTCCTGGGTATGATATAGACAGTTCCTACAGTCTCCTGGGTATGATATAGACAGTCCTACAGTCTCCTGGGTATGATATAGACAGTTCCTACAGTCTCCTGGGTATGATATAGACAGTTCCTACAGTCTCCTGGGTATGATATAGACAGTTCCTACAGTCTCCTGGGTATGATATAGACAGTCCTACAGTCTCCTGGGTATGATATAGACAGTTCCTACAGTCTCCTGGGTATGATATAAACAGTTCCTACAGTCTCCTGGGTATGATATAGACAGTTCCTACAGTCTCCTGGGTATGATATAGACAGTCCTACAGTCTCCTGGGTATGATATAGACAGTTCCTACAGTCTCCTGGGTATGATATAGACAGTTCCTACAGTCTCCTGGGTATGATATAGACAGTTCCTACAGTCTCCTGGGTATGATATAGACAGTTCCTACAGTCTCCTGGGTATGATATAGACAGTCCTACAGTCTCCTGGGTATGATATAGACAGTTCCTACAGTCTCCTGGGTATGATATAGACAGTCCTACAGTCTCCTGGGTATGATATAGACAGTTCCTACAGTCTCCTGGGTATGATATAGACAGTTCCTACAGTCTCCTGGGTATGATATAGACAGTCCTACAGTCTCCTGGGTATGATATAGACAGTTCCTACAGTCTCCTGGTTATGATATAGACAGTCCTACAGTCTCCTGGGTATGATGTACTGTAGACAGTTCCTACAGTCTCCTGGGTATGATGTACTGTAGACAGTTCCTACAGTCTCCTGGGTATGATATAGACAGTTCCTATAGTCTCCTGGGTATGATGTACTGTAGACAGTTCCAACAGTCTCCTGGGTATGATATAGAAAGTTGTATGACATCAGTGATTTAAATATTCCCAGGTAGACTGGATGACTATAAAATGACCATATAAATGTTTATTCACAAATGTCTGAATCAGAGGAGTGTAATATAGAGTTGATGTGACTCGTTAGTGGAGCAGTGTTATATAGGTTTGATGTGACTCGTTAGTGGAGCAGTGTTATATAGGTTTGATGTGACTCAGTGGAGCAGTGTTATATAGGTTTGATGTAACTCGTTAGTGGAGCAGTGTTATATAGGTTTGATGTGACTCGTTAGTGGAGCAGTGTTATATAGTGTTGATGTGACTCATTAGTGGAGCAGTGTTATATAGGTTTGATGTGACTCATTAGTGGAGCAGTGTTATATAGGTTTGATGTGACTCATTAGTGGAGCAGTGTTATATAGTGTTGATGTGACTCATTAGTGGAGCAGTGTTATATAGGTTTGATGTGACTCGTTAGTGGAGCAGTGTTATATAGGTTTGATGTGACTCATTAGTGGAGCAGTGTTATATAGGTTTGATGTGACTCATTAGTGGAGCAGTGTTATATAGGTTTGATGTGACTCATTAGTGGAGCAGTGTTATATAGAGTTGATGTGACTCATTAGTGGAGCAGTGTTATATAGTGTTGATGTGACTCATTAGTGGAGCAGTGTTATATAGAGTTGATGTGACTCATTAGTGGAGCAGTGTTATATAGTGTTGATGTGACTCGTTAGTGGAGCAGTGTTATATAGAGTTGATATGACTCGTTAGTGGAGCAGTGTTATATAGGTTTGATGTGACTCGTTAGTGGAGCAGTGTTATATAGGTTTGATGTGACTCATTAGTGGAGCAGTGTTATATAGGTTTGATGTGACTCATTAGTGGAGCAGTGTTATATAGAGTTGATGTGACTTGTTAGTGGAGCAGTGTTATATAGGTTTGATGTGACTCATTAGTGGAGCAGTGTTATATAGGTTTGATGTGACTCATTAGTGGAGCAGTGTTATATAGAGTTGATGTGACTCATTAGTGGAGCAGTGTTATATAGAGTTGATGTGACTCATTAGTGGAGCAGTGTTATATAGAGTTGATGTGACTCGTTAGTGGAGCAGTGTTATATAGGTTTGATGTGACTCATTAGTTTAGCAGTGTTATATAGAATTGATGTGACTCATTAGTGGTGCAGTGTTATATAGATTAGAGTCAATCCTAAGTGCAGTGTTATATAGATTAGAGTCAATCCTAAGTGCAGTGTTATATAGAGTAGAGTCAATCCTAAGTGCAGTGTTATATAGAGTAGAGTCAATCCTAAGTGCAGTGTTATATAGAGTAGAGTCAATCCTAAGTGCAGTGTTATATCGAGTAGAGTCAATCCTAAGTGCAGTGTTATATAGAGTAGAGTCAATCCTAAGTGTTATTTAGTCTGTGATTGTTTGTTAATGTGACTTTTTCCTCCTTAGTGTATTGGTGTATTTCCTTATTTACATTTGGATACTCTTTCCAGTAGTGGTGAATCTTAATGACCAAAGGAAGTTTACAGACATGAATATTGAACATTTATGTGAAGCTGTGATGGATGTTCTACGTTTACCTCCATTTTATAGCTCCAAGGTATAGCTTGTTTACTTTTTTTTCATTATTGATTTTTGGAACTGTGAAATGTTACAGTTTGCCACTAATGATCAGTGAAATATTTATAATTCAGGGTAGTTTAACACTTTTAAAATCTTAACCACTTTTGTCATCCAGAATTCTCATTGGAGTTGTGTAAAGGATTCAAGCAGGCAATTAAAACACCACTTTACAATATTCATATATACACACCATCACTATCAAAATTTGTTTACCTTGTAAGAATGTTTGTGTATAGGTAACTCAGATATAGGACTGGGATGTGATAGAATCAGACATGTCTCTACTCAGATGTCGGACTGGGATGTGATAGAATCAGACATGTCTCTACTCAGATGTCGGACTGGGATGTGATAGAATCAGACATGTCTCTACTCAGATGTAGGACTGGGATGTGATAGAATCAGACATGTCTCTACTGAGATGTAGGACTGGGATGTGATAGAATCAGACATGTCTCTACTCAGATATAGGACTGGGATGTGATAGAATCAGACATGTCTCTACTCAGATGTAGGACTGGGATGTGATAGAATCAGACATGTCTCTACTCAGATGTAGGACTGGGATGTGATAGAATCAGACATGTCTCTACTCAGATGTCGGACTGGGATGTGATAGAATCAGACATGTCTCTACTCAGATGTAGGACTGGGATGTGATAGAATCAGACATGTCTCTACTCAGATGTAGGACCGGGATGTGATAGAATCAGACATGTCTCTACTGAGATGTAGGACTGGGATGTGATAGAATCAGACATGTCTCTACTGAGATATAGGACTGGGATGTGATAGAATCAGACATGTCTCTACTCAGATGTAGGACTGGGATGTGATAGAATCAGACATGTCTCTACTCAGATGTAGGACCGGGATGTGATAGAATCAGACATGTCTCTACTCAGATGTAGGACTGGGATGTGATAGAATCAGACATGTCTCTACTCAGATGTAGGACTGGGATGTGATAGAATCAGATAATTCTCTGTTTTTGCTGCTGCTACAATATTAAAAACATGATTATTTGATGTCTTTCTACTTGAAAGGCTTCCTCTTTGAATTGCCTCATTACAAACCAAATTCACCAATTAACCAATTTACTAATTATGCTCAATGGTTAGTGTATTGGTGATATAGTGATCCACTAAGTAAACAGGAGGTTGTGGTGATTAGTAAGTGGTTATTGATTGTGTAAAACAGCCTTAGAATGTTACTGTATTGATACTACCTACCTCCTGATCATTGTAAACTCTAGCAATGGTAGACATGAGTATTTCATAGACATTTGTTTTTTATTTTTGTAACGGACAGGTTTGCTGATGAAACTTTCAGATACTTAAGTGCTTCAGATAAGTTGTTTTTTTAGATATAGAAGTTGATGTTATGTGATTGTTTATGTTATTGATAAAAATGTAATAGAAAGATAAGAAAAAATAGAGGCTATAAAACACATTGCCGATCCTTAAGTTGCCTGGTGTGTTATCAGATGTAGCCTCTTCTGCCCTAATGAAACACCTGATAGCAGACAAACTGCCTTGATCTGTTATGTAGTTTAGCCATATTGTTGAATGAGGAGAAAGAAATGATGACAAGTTTAATCTGGTTGCCTAAATCATACAGAATCCTATTATACAAGTAAACAACAACAACCTTACATTGAGAGAGTGTGTTGTTGACGGAGTGACGAGGGGGAGTGATTTGTTAAGGTGTGATGAGGGGGAGTGTTTTGTTAAGGTGTGGTGAGGGGGAATGTTTTGTTAAGGTGTGACGAGGGGGGATGTTTTGTTAAGGTGTGACCAGGGGGGATGTTTTGTTAAGGTGTGAC